GGCGCGTCGGGCAGGCGCGCAGCCTCGTCAGACTCGCCCTCGCCCTCGCCTTCGCCCTCGCCCTCGCCATCTGGGACCGCGGCGACGCCCGCGGGGCTGGATTCGTCGAGAACCATGTTGTCAGAACAGACAAGGCATTGCATGCACACGCATTGCCTCGGGAAGGAATCATCATTGCGTTTCTTGGACAGGGCGCTCTGAAACGCGCAGCGCAAGCGCTTGACTGCCACGTCGACGTCAGTCAGGCTCCAGGCTATGTTGTTCTTCTTGAGAAGTGTGCGGAGTTTTTCGTGGAAATGAGCTGCCGAGAGGTGCGCCCGCCAGTGCCATCGAGGATGTCGGACATCAGCCGCGCGTCCTTGATCGATGACCAAGAGCTCGCGAGGCCAGACTTGGTCATCTCCAAATGCCGCAGCTCGCGCGGCTGGCGCATTTCCGACAGGAACATGTTTGCCGAGTAAGTCGGCGGCGACGGCGTCGGGGCAGTCTGCGCCCCTGGCGCGAGTCGGCACGTTGGGTTGCTATGCGTTTGAGCCAAACTGCTGGCGCTACGTCCAAACAGTATCGCTGCGACTGGGGGTTTCAAAGCTTATCCGGGGTCTTATCTGCAATCTCGCCATCTCACTCAAGCCGGCGCTTCGACCTCTTTACTTTGGCATCGGGTTGTACGTGTGCTTTGTTGAGCTGTGCGGTCTCCCTGGGCTGGGCTTGTTGCTCGCATTGGCTGCCTGTTAAATTCGCGTTCCGCGCGGTTTCCTGCCTGCTGGCGGGGGGGGGGGGGTCGGACTTCCGCGGCCTTGGGCGAGGGCGAGGCGCCAGCCGAGCGCGGAACCAGCTGGCCAAGAGCGAGGAGCACGCAGGGAGAAGCGAAGGGAGCGGAAAGGCAGCCAAACCGAGAGGAAATAATTTGCGAGGACGCGGGCTGGTCTTCAAGAGTGTGAAAAGGAGGGGGAGGATGAGGAGGGAGGATGGAGGAGAGCGAGGGCGGAGATGAGGAGGGGGGGGGGGGGGGGGGGGAGGAGGAGGAGGAGGAGGAGGAGAAGGAAGACATTGAGGAGCATGGGGGTGCGTATGACTCCAGAACGCCCAAGGGTAAACGAGCCGCCTCTCAAACACCAGATCGCATGTCTCAGATCCCCTTCGACTCACGCAACAGCAACTCTCTATGGCAGAAAGGGTATACCAGTTGCATGTGATCATGTATGATACCAACGTTGTTGGTGACGAGTGTGATGCAGACGATGACTGCCGTGGTGCTGGCGACCTTGTGATTGCTGTTACTGGCGATTCGAATGGTGACTCTGGAAACCGCAGCCCTGCGCAATCAATCGCGGTGGTGACGATGGCGATGGCGACGACGGATGCAGCCCTGGCGCCACCCCTGCAGGCGCTGCGTTAAATTTACGAACGCGCAGGCAGAATGCCCACGAGCGCTTCGGGCGCTTAGCCTCGGGCTGCTCTGGGTTGCCCTCGGTGTCCCCACCTGCTGGTGGCAACAACGGTTCAACGCTGTCTCTGATATCGTCATACTCATCTTTCATGGCGCGAGGGCTCGTCAGGACCGCAACTGCAGACCACTCTCCGTTCGAAATTACGGCTGTCGCACGGCTCTCCAAAAGCGCGAATGGCACAAGGGGGTCCTCCACATCAGGAGCCACCTGCCCAGTGAAGCAATGCCGTGAAATTGCAACCAACCAGCTAGAGAGCACGGTCTTGGAATCGCCAATCGCCTCGCAGGTTCTTCTCGTTCGCATAATTCGACAGCGCAGCGAATGGCCCGACATGTTGCCCGTCTCCATCCTCCCTTCTTCTCCGCGTCCTCTTGCCTCCTCCTCCTCCTCCACCTGTTTCTCCGCATTGCTCCTCTCCTTCTCCCCCCACAATGCTACCCGCCTGGTCTTGCACTGCAGGGCGCGGCAACATATTTTACCTGTCGCTGAGACGTCGACGCGAGAACACTGAGAAGAAACAGAACAGCCTAGCGCCTCTTTCAGGCCATCGACAACGCCATCCTCCTTTGCCGCGCCATCCAGGCCCTGGGAGTCCACGAGGATCGGGCAGTCGCTGAGGCGGTTGTTGGATCCGTTCGGGAAGACCGCGCCAGAGGCTGCGGGAAGCTCCGGGGCCACCTCAAGGCCACCAGTGGACCCCAAGCGGTAGACATTCCACAAAAAGGGTTTTGAACCCGCGATCTGGTTGGCCGTCGGGTCTGCGGTCCATCGCAGGAAGAAGGCTCTCGACGCGTGGCCAAGAAGCTAGAACTGGTGTTGATGCTACAACCCCCCCCATTGATCACTGTTTCGGGGGCTGCTGCGGCTGCTGTTGGAGTTTCTCGTTGCCTCTGCCACTGCCGCTACCGCCACCACTGGAGCTCTTCTTTTTCTCGCCCTCTTCGAGCGCCAGCGATTTCAGGCACAGAAGCACCCTCGATTTGGCCTTGTTTCAAGGCGCGGTGTCGTTGAATGCGCTCACACTGATTGAGCGGGGCATCGGGCCCCCTCGCGCCGAGTGGCCACGCCAATGGGCCCCGACGTCGTGCACTAGCATGGCCACGGACGGTCTGGGGACGCCGATACCCTACGCAACCAGTGGTGGAACGCATGGGCATCCGTAGCCTCTGCACCTCAGCGCCCGCGCTGTCCTCGGTAGGAAGAAGACCGGTTCAACAGACGACCGGTTCAACAGGGACCGGTTCAACAGACGACCGGTTCAACAGACACCGGTTCAACAGACGACCAGTTCAGCAAGGACCGGTTCAACAAAGACCGGTTCAACAGGACCCGTTCCGCAGAACCGGTTCCACGGAACAGGTTCCACAGGATCCGTTCCGCAGGACCGGTACCACAGAACCAGTTCCACAAGCCCGGTTCCACGGGATCGGTTCCACAGGACCGGTTCCACAGGACGGGTTCCACAGAGGCGATTCCCTCCTGCTACTCTCTCTCATTACACTGCTTCTGCTGTTGCTGCTGCTGCTCCTCCTCTTCTTCCTCCTCCTCCTCCTCATCCATCCCTCTCTGCCCTCCCGCCCTCCCCCATCCCTCGTTGCCTCTACGTCCCCCCTCCCCACATCCCTCATCCCTCCCTACTTCCTCCTCCCCGCTCCTCCCTCACTCATCATCGAGGGCCACCCACCCGACCCGTCCTGCCCGACCCGACCCGACCTGTCCCGCCCGCTAGGGTCCGCCCGCCCGACCCGTCCCGCCCGTGAGGGTACTCGCGTGCCAACTCGATGGTGCATCATACTATACTGTCCTGCCCGCCCGACCCGACCCGTCCCGCCCACTAGGGTCCGCCCGCCCGAACCGACCCGTCCCGCCCGTCAGGGTCCGCCCGCCCGGCGGACCCGTCCGCCCGTTAGGGTACTCGCGTGCCGTCTCGATGGCGCACCATACTTTAATGGCCGCCCGACCCGACCCTTCCCGCCCGTTAGGGTCCGCCCGCTGGGCCCGTCCCGCCCGTCAGGGTACTAGCGTCAGCCAATTCGATGATGCACCATTATTTTCTGTCCGCCCGCTCGACCCGACCCGTCCCGCCCGTGAGGGTCGCCCGCCCGACCCGAACCCGTCCGCCCCCTCCCGCGGACCCGTCCGCGTTAGGTTATCGC